GGGGGGGGGGGGGAGTTGTGGGGTAATGACATAATTTGAGACCAGAAAAGGGATAATTGAATCAAACCACTGGCTTGGTTATTATTCTGGATTATGCTTGTTTCTTTTTTGGAGTTTTCCATTTGGGGCAATTTAAATATTGATAAAGGAGAATTTATTCACATTAGCACTTCCTTCTCTCACCACCACTCCTTGAATAGAAGGCATACTAGGCCAGCTTCAGTCTGGTACTCTTCAGATATATTAGCTTGCAATTCCTATAAATGCAGCCAACTTTGTCATGTAAACAGGATGATGGGAGCTGTAGATCTATACATCAGGAAAGCATAAGGATATGCTTACACTCAAAGCTTGCCAGTGATTCCTTACTGAAATTACGTTCAGACATGCATTACCAATTGTGCAACTCACATACCCAGCGCCATTCAATATTGACCTCTGTGCAGGATCTCGTTGGAATTTAATGCTCTTTCTTCTAGGTTGCTCAAAAGAGTGTGACAATATTGGATACCTATTTGGGCCTTCTGGGCAGAAACAAATAGGCTCTTCACTTTTCAAAAGGAACACCAATACTCAACAACAAAACACAAGTCTCCGTTCTTTCTTCTTGGTTTGCAAAAACCAGCAACAGAGCACTTCCACCGCTGACGCATGAACTTTGCTACTGCAGGTAAACAGCCTGACCTATTATGGTTTTAAAATGGAGGTGCTAAGTATATATCGAACGACTGTAACTGATCATCTAAACGCATTAAATCATCGGTTCCATCCCCTGACATTTAAGGAGAAGAATCAATCGACCATCTCTATCCCATGAAACTAAGCGGCGCTAGGTCAGCACTAAGTTTTCGTGGCACCATTTCCCTTGGAAAAACAGGCCGCCGAAGCATTCCTGTACAAAGAGACTACAAATCCCACCATACATTGCGCTCCTCTAGTACCGTCGGAAATTGAGTTTCGGAGCAATATGTTTGGGACCACGTACTCTCACCTACCTCAGCGCTCCGTGAGCCCTTGAGCACCTGTTTGGTGAGGGCGATTATATCCGTACCGCAGTTGGTCACTTTCTCGGTCAGCAGTCCTTTCACCGAGTGCCCGAATCGAGCCTGAACATCCACAGCGATCCCTGCCGGAGTTACCGCCATGTCGCTATCAATAACCATAGAGAGAGCCGCACCTACGGATAGAAAATAGGGTCATAAAATATAGAAAAGCGCCCCGAACGGGTTTTGGCGGATGAGGAATTTATTCTTCTTAGCTTGTTCAGTTTTAGTTCTTCAGCTCTTGTGATGCAGGACAGAATAGCGCTTGCTTTTTATATTGCTTGCACAATACAGGGAATACATTGTACATTTTGTAAAATTAAAATAATTTTAGCAACACTTTGCCCCAGTGCTACTTAATCCAAAACTAAAGATAAAAGACTGAGTCAATCTGATCCTCTACTCCTCAGAAAACGGAATTGTTGCACTTACTATACATCTGAACAGCAACTCTGATTCCTTTTGCATTGTAAAATTATAGTTTTTAAATACTATACGAGTTAAATTCTCTACAACATTAAGGCTTTCTGGCTGGAGTGTAGGGCTACTGTAAGAGAGCTGCACAAGCCTAATTCATCCTTGCCATCTACTGGTCCTCTGGCTTTTTCAACCCAAATGCAGTAGCGAGGCACAGTGTGTTAAACCACAACCCGGGTTCTGATTCAGTGATTGGGGTTGCACAATATACTATCTTGTTTGAATCCAGCCACTGGGTTTAGTTCAGTGTGATGTATGAACCTAGTTCAATGTGATATATGAACCATCATTCAGTGTGAGGTATGAATCTAGTCAATTGGATTAATTCAATAAACCATTGTTAAGTAAGCCATTACCCCAGGGAAAGGGGTCTTCTTCAACCCTACCCCCCCCAACTTTACTATAATTGTCATTTACTGTATAGAAAATGGGAAATTCTGCTGCAGTCACATAAGAAAGTCATTCTGCATTTGCTGATGTATCACTGGGTTGTATAAATTGGACACAGGGCTCATTAGTGTTTGGGAGCATTTTAAACCCTTTTGACTTTCTGCAATTGTGCTACAGTATGTTGACAGGACCTATATACACATGGGACCATCATGGAATTTTGAGAAGACACAAACATCTGTTTCACAAAATGCACATATATTTTCTTTTCTACATTGCTTTATATATTCACTGTCCATTGCAGAGGATGAAGAATTGTCTTTCATGTTGTTTTTGTTTGGACTTTTGCTTGGACATGGCTGGAACAGTAAGATTCTGAAAACAAATCTTGATAGAAAAACTGTCTTGGTTAGTAAAAAAGTTCTGACAGAAACACCTAAGTAGTTTTTAAAAAAATTTTTAATTAATATGATTACTTTACAACAAATACACAATACTAAATAATAATAAAAAATATAGAGTTTTCAATAGATATAGCAACAATTATATTATTGGTCATTCTTGGACTTTGCTTAAGTACTTACTGACAATGAAATACTGTATAGGATAAACAAGAACTTGAACACTTTAGTTTTGAAAAGCAAATACTATGCTACCTAAGAAAAGAGCTTGACTGGAGCATGTAAGTAGTTTCTAGAAATAAAAGGGTGATTATTAATCTAATTGATTTTAGTAACTATCTCCTAAAGGGTGGTTCAACACACTCCTAAACCCTAGAAGCATGTATCTTCTGGTGTCTCTTAGGAGTACCCCTATTTATGTATCTATCTCCTGGTCATTTCCACCTGCCCAATTGTATGTAGGAGTGCAGCATGCCCAGCCACTAGGAGAGTCTTTTCTGCACACTTTCTGCACTCACAGTAACTTTAAAGGCATGAACCAGCCCTATTGACCAGCTTGCTTCAGATGTCCTGGGATTTCCTGGGGTGGATTTTTTGGATGAAATGATCCCTAATCCCAGCCAACTGTGACTGTCCTGGCCAATTCAGGACAGTTGACAGGTATGGGTTTGCATGGTCTTGGGTGAGGTTGTTGATCATAAATATATTCCTACAAATCAATATAGCCTTTATTAACAGTGTTTTCTGTTTAGGAATAGATAGTGGACAGAGGAATCTGGGAGGAGATGCCACTGAAGCAAACAGAAAAAGGGAGGAAGAAAAGTATGCTTTTAGTTGAGCATGAAATATAATTGTTGATGAAACCCAATTGTTGCTGAAGTTGCAGTAAATCTACTGGGAAATCATCAGTCTTGGGTGAAGCCTTTGGTACAGCTCCTTAGTAACAATACTCTAACCTTTTCTTGTTCTTGAGAATTTTAAATTTCCAGGCCCAATTCATGTGGAAGCAGCAGGCTAGAGTAGATTGCTACAATTGGAGTAACTAATGAGTAAATTTTGTCCCTAGCGCTTACTAAACCTGCAGTGCTGATCTTAATGTTTCTGTGGACTCATTGTAGGTGTAGGTATTTCCCATATAATGTGATACCAAACCATTTAAAATCCAATTATTTATTGTTCACATGCATCAACCTTTTCCAAGTTGGTTCCTTCCCATATAGATTGGCTCAACTTGCATAATCTTGAAGCATCATGAAGGACTCCAAGTTGGAGAAGGCTACCATACCTCATTTTGTATGGTATACTGATAGGAGTCAATAGTTAATAGCCTTTAGTAAAACAATGACTAAAATGAAACTGAAAAGTTTGTTGACTGTGAGGGATGTATGCATTTCAATTATACCTTTAGGCATTATGTTCAGATTAGCATTAGATCCCATAGTTTACAAGTGAGAAAGCCTTATCTGATTGCAGGAGAAGCAATGCACTAACTAAATAGGCATTGTGAAATATTGTCATGCTTTGCTCATAGACAAGGGTCTGTGCATCAAGATCAGACATTTCCATTGAACAAAAACTCCCGCTATTCTATTCCCTGATAAAATTGCAGGCATAGAGAACATTTTTGCCACCTTGAGCTCCTTGGAGGAAAGCTAGTATTAAAATAATAATATACTGGTATAACCAGAACTTCTAGGATACTATCATTCCAAGTGCATTAGAAGGTCTGCCCTTGCCATATGGAATAATCCTCCATTTAGCTTCTTCAGAAACAGCTGTCTCCTGCAGTAAAAATAGACATTTTGTCAGCAGTCAGACCTACCTTGCCCCCTTTGATATTCTTAGGAGCAAGAGGTAAATGTTAAATATTTATTTACGTATTTCAGAGCATTTGTGCCAGCTTTTCCCCAAAAAAGATTCCAGAGTGGCTTACAGAATAACAAAACAGTCTCTGTCCTCAGACTTATTGAAAGATATGACACAAAAAGAAAAAGGATTCAGAGGAAGAAGGAAAAAAAGCAAATTCACAATTTGTTTTTAATTGTAATGTTCTTATAATACAGTACAAGTTAATAAATAATAATAATAATAATAATAATAATAATATGATGATGATGATGATGATGATGATGATGATGATGATGATGATGATGATAGCTAGCACTGAAATTTTAAAGAAGAGAAGCTAAACACTGCTGGTGCAGCAAATGATGCTTCCTGTCAGGGCTGAAACTCATTGGATGACTATTTCCTAGGTAATAGTTGATGGAAAAATAGATCTGCAGAGGTGGCCCTTCACCGGAATAGTGGACCAGTTTCCTTTGTTCTTAGCAATTGCTTGGCAGAAGCTGAGGGAAATAGGAAGCTAGTGGGAGCTGGCTTCTTCACCACAGAGCCATTGTCATGACCTATTTTCATTGGGCACTCACCAAATATTTTTGGAGGACCATCAACCTTTCTCCCTTTTCTTTATCATTTAGGCAGATATGCACAAGCAAGAATAAAATAATAAGCACACATCATTGCTGAAACCTGTCATTTTTATCCTTTCACAATGCTGGGATCTCAAGAAACATTGTAATAAAATTAACACAATGACAGTGATACTGTTTGCAACCAGTTTTTTTGCTGCTACCATTTGCCTGTGTGCTGATAAACCGAAACTAGATGTGTGAAGCTGCCTCTTCCTGAGGAGGAGAAGTTGGGCAAAGGAAGTGGAAAAAGGTCTCTCCTATTTCCTCCTGCATAACTGAAGATGAGCGAATAGAAGAGTGGCAGTGGAAGTGGGCCTTCCATGTTTCAAAAACCTGCTAGGGCAAGTGATCCCATGTTGCTATTCAGCCACCAAGATGAGACTTAACTGTTGCTGTTAGGGACACTGTCCTCTGGGGATGCCCAGGGCTCTGCTAAATTTGGCACTGGCTCTGACTGCTTTGTTCTTCTGTTTGGACTGCAGCCTGATGTACTATACTGTTTGCTAATTTTAGTACTGTAGGAAAGAGAAATAGGGAGAGAGGAGTCTCTTGGAGAAAAAATAACATTTTGAAAATACTAGAAGTCTCCCCATCCCTGGCTTGAGACATTCTAATCTTTACAGGGAATCCTACAGCTGCCTATCTACAGTATCAGAGTACTAGGTATACTGACTCTGAGGGCCTTTTTAGCAGTAAAAACAGAGTATAAATGTTAATACTGTATAAGCAAATCAATAAGCAAAGTAAAAGCCTGTGTTTCTTGCAAGGACTACACATCTTTCATTATTTTCTTGGTTCAGGTCAGCTCAAGTGAGATGCAGCTTGCTCTTAGTTTTTTGGCAAGAAGCAAGGCTAATTCCGTGCTCCAGATTATATTATCTCCCAATGGTTAATCAGCATCTCCAGGGCAAGGTGATGTCACTATGAGCCCCTATAAAAGCCCAAATGTAGGCTGCCTATAGAGAGTCTACTTCACTTGGCTTCCTTTTTCTGGATCCCAGGCCAAGCCTCCAGACTACTGAGAGACAATGATAGTTCTCTTGGTTGGCTTGATGCTGATGCTGGCTGTCCTGTCCTTCTGGAAGGTGGCAGAAGGGAAGCTGGACTCCAAGCTCAAATGTCCCAGGAGTCTTCCCTCCCTGCCAGTAATTGGGAGCCTGTTGCATTTGGCTGGCTCCAAGCAGCCCCATCTCTTATTCTCCACTCTGCAGCAAAAGTATGGCAGCATCTTCTCCCTGTACATGGGCTCCCATTACATGGTAGTGATCAACAAGTACCTTCATGCCAAGGAAGTGCTGCTTAAGAAAGGGAAGATCTTTGCTGGCAGACCTCGCACGGTAAGCAAACTATGCAAGTTTGTATTTAATCTAGGCTAGGGGTTAG